GATCAGTTCACAACTCCACCATCAATGCATTAGTGCTCCATTTCTCCCACATCTTCTCTATCATTTATCATTTTCCTTTTTTGTCATATTAGCCAACTTGATAAGTGTGAGGTGGTACCTCAGAGTTGTTTGAATTTACATTTCTCTAATTAATAGTGACTTAGAGCATTTTTTCATAGGACTATGGATAGCTTTAATTTATTCATCTGAAAACTGCCTGTTCATATCCTTTGTCCATTTATCAACTGGGGAATGATTTCTATTCTGATAAATTTGACTCAATTCTTTATATATTTTATAAATTATGTCTTTATCAGAAACAGTAGCTATAAAAAAAGTGTAAAAAGCATGTAAAAAAAAGTGGCTGTGTTTCCCAGCTTTCTGCTTTCCTTCTATTCTTGGTTGCGTTGGCTTTGTGCAAAAACTTACATTTAATGAAATCAAAATTATCCATTTCACATTTCATAATGTTGTCTATCTCTTGCTTGGTCATAAAATCTTTCCTTTTCCATAGATCTGACAGGCAAACTATTCCTTGCTCTCCTAATCTGCTTATGATATCATCCTTTTTATCTAAATCATGTACCGATTGTGATCTTATATTGGTATACGGTGTAACATGTTGGTCTATGCCTAATTTCTGCCATACTAATTTTCCAGTTTTCTCCAGCAGTTTTTGTCAACTAGGTAAATTACTGTCATCATTGATTACTTCGTCTTGTCTGCCTAACCTGTTCCAGTGATCCACCACACTATTTCTTAGCCAGTACCAAATATTTTGATGATTGATGCTTTATAATATAGTTTTAGATCTGGTACAATTTACTTTGCATTTTCATTAATTCCCTTGATGTTCTTGACCTTTTATTCTTCCAGATGAATTTTGTTATTTTTTTCTAGCCCTATAAAATAATTTTTGGTAGTCTGATTGGTATGGCACTGACTTAGGTAGAAGTCTCATTTTTATTATATTAGCTTGGCATACCCATGAACAACTGATGTTTTTCTGATTATTGAGATCTCACTTTGTGTGAAAAGTGTTTTGTAATTGTGTTCATACAGTTTCTGGGATTGTCATGGCAGATAGACTCCCAAATATTTTATTCTGTCTACAGTTATTTTAAATGGGATTTCTCTTTTTATCTCTTGCTGCTAGGTTTTGTTAGTAATATATAGAAATGCTGATGATTTATGTGGGCTGATTTTATAGCCTGCAACTTTGCTAAAGTTGTTAATTATTTCAAGTAGTTTTTTAGTTGGTTCTCCGAGTATACCATCCTATCAACTGTAAAGAATGATAGTTTTGTTTCCTCATTGCCTATTCTAATTCCTTCAATTTCTTTTTCTTCTCTTATTGCTAAAGCTAACATTTCGAGTACAATATTGAATAACGGTGATAATGGACATCCTTTTTTCTCCTCTGATCTTACTGGGAAAGCTTCCAGCTTATTCCCATTAAATATAATGCTTACTGATGGTTTTAGACAGATGCTACTTATCTTTTTAAGGACAACTCCATTTATTCCTATCCAGTGTTTTCAATGGGAATGTGTGTTGTATTTTGTCAAAAGCTTTTTCTGCATCTATTAAGATAAGCACATGATTTCTGTTGGTTTTGTTATTGATATGGTTGTTTATGCTGGTAGATTTCCTAATATTGAATCAGTCCTGCATTCCTGGTACAAATTCTACCTGGTCAGAGTTTATTATCCTGGTGATAAATTTTTGTAATCTCTTTGCTAATATTTTATTTAACATTTGTGCTCAAAAGTGTCTGAGACTCTAAGAGTTGTGGAGAAAATAATTGGGGTTACATAAGAAAAGGTGTTCAAATGACCATGCTTTTTGAATCATTGATCCCACTCCTGGACACATATAGTCCAATGACTTCAAAGACAAGAGATAAGTTCCACACACACACAACCACATTTTCCTGGTGGGAAACAAAGTGCATGTCTATTGATCAGAGACTGGCTGAAAAAAATGGTGAGATATGGTGCCCTCTCTAAGAGGCTGGAGAGCAGCTGACTTGGCTTTTTTGACCTCTCCTCCTTTACCGCACCAAGCTCCTCTTGGACTGCATTGCACAGCACTTGGGCTGCCCGTCTGCAGCACTATCACCCCACAGTCACCATCATCTACCAGGACCTCATAAGCTATGATGAGATGCTCTCAGACATTTACAAGATCAGGGATATCCCGTGAACTGGCTGTGCCAGGAGGTGGAGAGGAAGATAGCAGGGCAGAGGGTACCATTGATGATTCACTCATCACTGGAAATGCCTCTGCTGAAGGTCTTGACGGTGAAGGAAGAGATGCCACTATAATCACCGGAGTTGACACAGTATTAAATCATCATCTACAAGAAAATAGTTTCACAAAAAAATCCTACAAAAAGTACATCAAAGGTTATATGAAATCAATCAAATGCAGACTTGAAGAATACAAGCCAGAGAGAATAAGACCTTTTATGAGGAGAGCTGCAGAACAAATCAAACATAACCTTCTTAGTTTTTAAAACTATCATTCTTCATAGGTGAAAACATGAATCCAGATGCCATGGTGGCTCCCTTAGACTTCCAAGATGATGGTGTGACTTCATATATGATTTTCTTTAAAGACAGTTTAGAAATGGAGAAATGTTAACAAATTCAGCTGATTGCTTTGAATTACCCATCATCATAACTGGCTGCTGCTTTTTGTCATCTACACAACACCAAGACTTGTACAGATTTGGACTGATGCCATCATGAGCTTCATTCACTTATTTTTGATTTATCTGCAGGTAAGCATTGTTTTTTGTTTTGTTTCTTTTTTGCTTTTTGGTGAGGCAATTGGGGTTAAGTGTCACCTAAGGTCACACAGATAGTAAACGTCAAGTGTCTGAGATCGGATTTGAACTCGGGTTCTCCTGACTCCAAGGCCAGAGCTCTATCCACCTAGCTGCCCCTAGACATTGTTTTTAAAAAAACTTATCACATAGGTTGTGTCAAATAATGTGCATTTAACACCCCTCAATTGTGAGATGTGAATAAAATGTGATATTAAGTCCAGTCAATGAGCATTTATTAAACATTTATCATGTGTCAGTCAAAGTGCTGAACTGTGAAGACACAAAGAAGGGCGAAAACACAATTTCCTGACCTCAAAGAGTTCCATTAGAATTGGAAAACAACTGGAAAACAAAAACATCAAAAGTTTTATGTCACAGATGTTTAGAGCATCAATGGAAAATAATCTCAGAAGACAGACACTAACTGGGGGGATAGAGATGGGGGTTTTAATAAGGAAAGGTCACTACAAAAGGGCTCTTTCAGAAGGCAGAATTTGAGTCTTGGGGATGTGAGAGCCAAGAGGAGAGGTGAAAACAGAGAATTTTGCAAACATAGAGAACAGAGCCTGAGAAAGTGTGGAGGTGGCACATAGAGGCTGGTGTCTGAGGGACAGCAAGAGAGTAACCCAGGTCTCTGCATCTTAGAGTACTTGGATAGGAACAAATCATAAGACTAGAAAGGTTGGAAAAAGGCCAGTTGGTGAAGGGCTGTAAAAGCCAAAGTCAGAATTTTATATGTTATTTAGGAGCCTCTGGATACTACTGAAAAGGGAAGAAATATGGACAGACAGATGTTCTCAGAAGACCTTTTTGGTGGGTGACAGTAGACTATATTGAAACTGAGGGAGAACTGAGGAAAGGAGAGGCTCTTTCAATCACCTGGGGACAAATCAAAGAAGTCCTACACCAATGTGATGACACAGAGAGTGGAAAAAAGGGGATGTATAACAGAAATGTTGTATAGGTAGAAAGGACAAGGCTTGGCAAGAGAATGTTTACATGGACTGCTGATTCACTGAACTCACTGGATTACCAAGCAAGACCTTATAGAAAGAGAAGTTAAGAAGGAAGAGGACAATGCCTTGGAGGACATACCCATGTTGAGGGCCATGGCCTGGATAGAGATCCTACAGAACGAGACTCAGATGGACTGAAAAAAAACAACAACAAAATGAATAAGAGAAGCCCCAGGTGGAAGATGTGTCACAAACACACAGAGAGGAAAGCCTGTCTAAGAGAATAGGATGAGCAAAGGTGTCAAAGATTGTGGAGAGATCAAGAAAGATAGGAATAGAGAAGAGATACACTTAAGACATGATAAAGATAAGAATAAGAGAAGAGATAAAGTCTTTAGATTTGCACCAAAAGTCACCATTGGTAACTTTGGAGAGTAAAATTCAGTGGTGTCCCAAATGACAAATTCAAAGAACACAGAGCAACCTAGGTAATCCTTTATGAACCAATGTAATATGAGGTAAGGAGCACAGTAGCTATGAACAAAATGAATAAAAATGAAAACAACCATGAAAGGTTGCCATTCTCTATTAATTGTATTGAAACATCCTAGGAAACAGACAATGAAATACGGTTCCTTCCTGATGGTAGAGAGGCTGTGGGCTACAGATGCAGTTATCTTGGGAGCTTTTGCTAAACTGTTATGCAGGTGTTTGTATACATGTTTGTGTGTGTATGTTTGTATATATCTTTGTATGACAGGGAAACGGGATGAAAGTATGGGCATGAATCGGAGATAGACTTTATAACACCCCCCCCCAATAATGGATGTGTTGATTTTTATGATGTTTATTAGTGTTTCAAATTGTGGAAGCTAGGAAGAGTGATTTGTTTTAAGTAATACTTATTTTGGAAACAACAGTAAATTCATGTCACCCTTAACAGTATAAGGCTGAAAAATAAAATTCATCCCTAATTCAGAATTTCTAGGAAGAATTGAGAGACATTGGTTCTCCACAGAAACATTTGTTTTTAAGCTTTGGGATGCCCATCAAAACTGCCAGCAACCTCCAATTTGGGAATATTGCTTTGATGCCTTTCCTACATCCTCCTCACTACATTCCCCAGTTTTCTTGAGATTTCACACAAATAGGCCCTGAGGAAAGGTTTGTGGAAAAAATGGGGAAAGTACCCATCAATTGCCCCCTCTCACCATGGCATGTATCTCTTTAATTTCGATGAAAAATTTCTCAGCTTTACATTCCCAGGCTGCTTGTGTTGCCAGCTCTTGTCTTTTTAATTCCATTTCTCTGGAAAAACAAAACCAACAACATAAGTGCTTAAAATGGGGAGAATGTTGACTTGGGCATCAAGATTCTTCATTTCTATTCCAATTCTTCCAATATTATAATTGAATAAATTAGGCATATTACATTCCATTCACTGAAATCAATAGTATATTGACAACTTTTTATCAGTTATTCCTCTGTATGCCCCCTTTAATGATTTGTACATTCATCACTATTTAACATTTCTCTTTTTATTCTGAGCATATATATTTCCCTGTGGGAGGCTACTAAATTAATTGATACTTTTTTTGTTTTCGTTTGCCTGTGTGTATGTATATATGTGTGTGTGTGTGTGTGTGTGTGTGTGTGTGTGTGTGTGTGTGTGTCCTCTTACACAAATTCACAGGAATATTTCTAGAATTTTTCTTTTCCTTTCCACTTACTGATCAATTTTAATTCTTGGTATTATTCTTTTGTGTTGATAATCTAGAATTTCTTCAGACTGACTAAACTTGCCAGGCACCTCCGGCATCTCCAGGGTTTGGGAGTAACCAAATACTACTACTACTACAAATGCTATAAGAATATAATTATCCCTTCTTTACTATATATATATAAGGCACTCCACTGGGTGTAATTTCAGTAAAAGATGACAGGGACATATGGGGGGAACACCCTGTGATGGTTGTAACTTGATAAGCATTCTGGCACATAGTTTGTTGTAGTTTAGTTTACATTCTACCATTCTATAACCTCACTAGTAATACATGAGTTTACCTGGTTCTCCAGAGACATTCCACAGTAAAATCACCATTAGGAAGGTTTTCCATTGTAGAGGTAATTTCCTTAGCTATGATGTTTTCTTTTCTGCAGCTTCACTGCTTTCCAGCTGAAAAGAAATCTTTTTAAAGAAAGAAGTGAACATATTCTTCTCTAGAAAAGCAAAACAAAGAATTTTAAAGCAATAAGCTAACACTGCTCTGAACTTATCTCATCACACCCTTTGAGATCCAGCAATACTACAACGAGCCATATATTCTAAACAGGTTTTTTTAAAGGGAAAAGTACATATTTGTACAAAAAATATTTATAGGAGCTCTTTTTGTGGAGGCATAGATTTGGAAATTGAGGGGATGTCCATCAATTGGGGAATGGTTAAAGAACTTACAGCCAAAAGGGGGTGATTACCTCTGACTTATGGGCAGCTACACAAAAAGCATTCATATGCCTGAAAAGGAGCTCAGCAGGGAACGAGATGATGACCCAAGTCACCAAAGCCTTGTCATCCCTCCATCAATGACACCACAATGCTTCTGACTGGGACTGGGAAGCTATTCTAGCCCTGTCTTCTCTTTAGCATCCAAGGGAAGAAGAGAGTCAACACTTGAGTGTGTCCTGAAGACACAGGTGAGGAAAATTTCTGGTCTGAATATTCCATTTAGCATAGGAGGGTCTGGGTGACCCTTTGTGGAGGACTATTTAACCTCAGAGATATACTGTCAAATTCTAGATGGCGGAAGAGAAATAGATTCACCTATTCGAAAATGAAGGGGCCCCCTCAAAATCCAAAAGTGAACAGCAAGGATGGAATTGCCCATGAGAGGAAAGGTGACGGAGTGGTCAGAGAGAATCAGATAGGAAATCTCCCTGAAAACGAAACTCTGACATGCCACTCTTTGCAAATCCAAAGAAATGCGTTCTCCCTTGTATTCCAGGAACAATGGCCATAATGCTGAGAAGCAGTACAATCTGGAAGAAAGATCCTGACACCCACCAAGGTGGGAATTTCAGGGAAACTTGGTCAGTCTGAGGTCACCTATGTGATATTTGCCTTCCTTGTCTATTTTGAGAATTGGCCTTGTCTGTAGAAGGAAGAAAGAGTTACTCTGAGATGGTTTGTGCAAGGGACACACTCACAAGATGTCTTATAACCAAACAAGAAGAATCTCATGAAGACACTGCTTTGTATCCACAGGGAGGGACAGATTGTATACCATCCAAGTGAAGACCTCCTTAACTTTCGATAATCCCAATCAATCCTAGACTGGCTCTTGATGAAGTAGCTATTGGGAAGAATCTGCTAGGAAGACAAGAGTGAATCCTATTATCCCTTTAATGTGTTCACCACAACATATTCTACTTCTCTAGCCCCTTCTCTTGGTTCCAGACCCAAGGAAAAAAGGCCTTTAGATGAGCAAGAGAAGCAAACGATCTGAAAACAACTGAGGCAGTCAGTCTTTGTGGATATTGCTCATTATCAATCTGAGGTACGGCATCACTGTAGAGTAACAAATGTTTTTCTTCCTCCTTCTTCCTCTCATCCTTCTTCTCTTGTTCCTCCCCGAGTCCAACCTTACTACCATCCAACTGCTCCCAAAACCACATTCCACTGCCCACATTCCAATTCCACAACGGTCTAGGTCACTCGGCTTTTCAATGTAGTAGTCAAGAAAGAGATGGCAGCCAGTTGGAAAAGTTTTGTTGTTTCCCATCACAATTGGGCCTTCTCTAGGATTAGTCCTTTATGGATAAAAGAATATACACACATTCACTTTGATGAACACACACATACACACACACTCCACCCAAACAGGTACTTTTTTTTGGTACTATATATGTACAGATGGATAGATGGGGCTGAATTCACTATGATTCCACGCAAGTCTACAAAAGAAATGTCAAATATTATGTGTCCAGAAAATTATCAAGTGTGTTGCTTGACCTCAAGCTACCATTTCAAGTCTATATAGCCTTTGGCATTGAATGTCTCTTCTTGCGTCCTCTTGTATTTCTTGGGTATGAGTGAATGATACAATAAGGGTCATGTTAAAGTGAGAGAAAGGGTCTTTTCTATCCGTGTTAACACTACTCAAGTCCCTCAATTTACAGCAAAGAGGGTGATGAAGAAAAAGGACTTCTCTACCTCC